TGCAGATTTTCCATCCTGATTTTATTTTGCTCTCTTCCACTCTGTTTTGATTCATGATTTCAAACAACAGATTTGAAATAAAATTAAATGCATTGCAATACGGCGAAAAGCTAAAATGATTGAACATCTATTTAGTAATCCATCAGGTTAAAACTTGGCATCTGCACCTTTTAATTATTTCATCAAATTACCATAAAATTAAAACGCATAAGAAAATGTGCTTAAATTAAATTGAATATAACACAATCGTTTAAATTTATAGTCTCTAGCAGATAAAATTTCTAAATTTTCCTCTTCCATATAACTGAGTTGCTGAGTGTATAATTTCCTTGCTCAAATTTTTCTGCTTGTCTAGCCGGCATTTATCTGTACTTATTTGCTGCCTAATAAGCATGGTATTTAAATTAAATCTTAGCTAAACATGATGAATTAAAAATGAATTGGTACGATTGAAAAATTCCAGAAAATTCCTTCAGGATTTTTCTCTTCCTAATGTTATTGTTTTCAGTGTGATATCGGTTTATTTGCATTTTTTTTTTCAAGTTATATAATCTTTATTTTTTTAATGATTTTTTTTTTTACTCATGCATTTCAACTGAGGCCTCCTCTTGTCCCCAGGGCAATCTTTTTCCCTTCCAGCATCATTTGCTCCTTCTGTTCTTGCATATATAGCTAGGAAGTATAGAGAGGAGTATTGTGTGCAGATGTTTGTTTGTCAGTGTATGGAGGAAATAATACTGATTGAGTAGGGTTGGTCCTCTTCCATGGAAATTCTCGTCCAATTCTCGTCCACTCACACTCTATCATTACCTTCACTAATTTTTTGTTTTTCATTTTTCATTTTTCACAAATAATGATGGGAATGGAATGATGATGATAGGTAAGAGTGAACATTTATCGATAAATAGGAAAATTTTTTAGGTGTAAACAGCATAATAGGTATATACTTTCATTTTCATTTCTTTTTTATAATGCTTTTTTTTGTAATGTTCTATTTGTTATGATAAACTGCAAGTTAAAGTGCTGAAGTGCATTAATATGCTTTGTAAACATATTGCAGTGTGAAATTTTAAGCTACGTATTTAGCTGTTTAGTTTTTCGTTTCATCCTAAATGCAAATTCATACAGGTGAGAAAAAGTCATATTGTTTTATGGCATATGGGAAAAATTTCTTGATAGAAAATTATGGGCTATGAAACTTCATCCTATAACTCAAATCCAAGCAGACAAAATTAGGTTATTAAATTAAATCTTAGCTAAACATGATGAATTAAAAATGAATTGGTACGATTGAAAAATTCCAGAAAATTCCTTCAGGATTTTTCTCTTCCTAATGTTATTGTTTTCAGTGTGATATCGATGATTTGATTATAGAACACAAAAATAGGAAATTGATACGAATGTATTATAATACATAAGTTTAAAAAATTAAAAAAAATAGATTAAAAATTTTGAAAGTTGGGTAG